TGTTCATACCTATATGGACATTGTCCTATTAACACATTAATGTAACTGTTCATACCTACATGGACATTGTCCTATCAACACATGAATGTAACTGTTTATATCTACATGGACGTTGTCCTATCAACACATGAATGTAACTGTTCATACCTACATGGACATTGTCCTATCAACACATGAATGTAGCTGTTTATATCTACATGGACGTTGTCCTATCAACACATGAATGTAACTGTTCATACCTACATGGACATTGTCCTATCAACACATGAATATAGCTGTTTATACTTACATGGACCTTGTCCTATCAACAAATGAATGCAACTTTTTATACCTACATGGACATTGTCCTATAAACACATGAATGTAACAGTTTATACCCTATATGGACATTGTCCTATCAACACATGAATGTAGCTGTTTATATCTACATGGACGTTGTCCTATCAACACATGAATGTAACTGTTCATACCTACATAGACATTGTCTTATCAACACATGAATGTAGCTGTTTATACCTATATGGACATTGTCCTATCAACACATGAATGTAGCTGTTTATACTTACATGTACTTTGTCCTATCAACACATGAATGTAGCTGTTTATACTTACATGGACTTTGTCCTATCAACACATGAATGTAGCTGTTTATATCTACATGGACGTTGTCCTATCAACACATGAATGTAACTGTTCATACCTACATAGACATTGTCCTATCAACACATGAATGCAGCTGTTTATACCTCTATGGACATTGTCCTATCAACACATGAATGTAGCTGTTTATATCTACATGGACATTGTCCTATCAACACATGAATGTAGCTGTTCATACCTATATGGACGTTGTCCTATCAACACATGAATGTAACTGTTCATACCTACATGGAAATTGTCTTATCAACACATGAATGTAGCTGTTTATACTTATATGGACTTTGTCCTATCAACAAATGAATGCAACTGTTCATACCTACATGGACATTGTCCTATAAACACATGAATGTAACTGTTTATACCTATATGGACATTGTCCTATCAACACATGAATGTAGCTGTTTATACCTACATGGACTTGTCCTATAAACACATGAATGTAACTGTTTATACCTATATGGACATTGTCCTATCAACACATGAATGTAGCTGTTTATACTTACATGGACTTTGTCCTATCAACACATGAATGTAGCTGTTTATGTCTACTGTGTTGATAGGACAACGTCCATTAGGTATGAACAGTTACATTCACATAGACATTGTCCCATCAACACATGAATGTAACTGTTTATATCTACATGGACGTTGTCCTATCAACACATGAATGTAACTGTTCATACCTACATAGACATTGTCCTATCAACAAATGAATGCAACTTTTTATACCTACATGGACATTGTCCTATCAACACATGAATGTAACTGTTCATACCTACATGGACGTTGTCCTATCAACACATGAATGTAATTGTTTATACCTACATGAACTTTGTCCTATCAACAAATTAATGTAACCTTTTATACCTACATGGACATTGCCCTGAAAAAGGTCGGAGTAAGTGCAGTTTACTCTGACCCTCATGTTGTATTTACACGTATATTCTTCAGCAACCATACAATCTTACTCTCCCAGGTCTTTAAAGACCTAAATCCCAACAAAGAGAAAGAAAGACGACTGAAGTGGTGCCCAAACATTACTGACAGTTGAATGCATTTTTTAATGTTTTGTCAAAATAACAATACACTTAACCCTATACCACCAAGAACCCAGATTCACTTAGCAGTTTGAAACTCTTAAGTGATGCATACAATTTGAAAATATAACTGTTGTCAAATAAAAAATATTGTAGAAATAAGATTGTTTACCTGTAATATATCAGTAATGTTACGTATGATTTAGGTTTCTGATTCTGAATAGTTTTACTACATCACAAAAAAGGTTCATATTTGAAAGAAAAGAAAATATATAATTATAAAACAAAATGACATTACAGGAAGACACGAAACTGCCTTTTCATACGATTTCATGTCGTGCACTTTGCAGTAAAATATATTCAGGCTGTTATTAGGATATATTCCAAATTAAAGTCCCAATGATTATCTATGAAAGATAGACATCGAAACACATACAATGCTTTTAAACGGTTGACTCATTTACATAGCGATGGAAGAGGCAAAACAAAGAAAATAGGTTACATGATAGAAGTCACCCAGAACGACCCCT